TAATGAGAAAGGCAGCAGGAAAAAGAAAAAGTAATGAAGGTCTCCTTCAAACATGTCCTGATATTGCCCAGATCTCTTTTGTTTACATCCCTTTGGCAGAACTTAGTCACATAGCCAAACACAGCTCAAGAGAGGTTGGGAAATGTAGATTTTATTCTGGGTGGCCACGCCCAGTTAAATTCAGAGGTTAATTTACTGACAAAGAAGGTAATGATTACTGGGTGACAACTCTCAGTTTTTGCCACAAGGACATAACACTATTTTATCTATACCTATATCTATATCTATTTGTCTAGCTAGCTAGCTAGCTAGCTGTCATCCATCTATCAATCTGTCTCTATCATCTATCTGGTATCTCTTTTTCCTATTAAAATATGAACTTCATAAAGACTTAGGCTTTATATCTTCAGCAGCAAGAATTGTAGACATTCAATATTCATTAAGTGAATGAATAAATGAGTGGGTGGAGATTGTGGAATGCATGAGTTTGGAATTATTTTCCTGTTATGTCAAACACTTGGAGGGAAATAGGATTGTAATAAACAGTCAATTGAGTATAAGATGATGGTGGCTACTTAAGGGAGAAGTTGTTTTATATGTGACCAAAATAAGTGCCTGACCATAGGATTGACAGTTCAAGGTAGTAAATGGTAGGTGTAAGCTAACCTGTTGCAACTGCTTCTAAGTAAAAGTTTGCATTGAAGTTATTAATTAGGTACCAGTGAGAAACATTTAGCCGAGCCATTGAATTTAAGTTCCCTCTCAAGATCTCTAAATTGCTTTTATATTCCTGGCTTAAGCATTTACAGTGGTGTGCTATTAGTAAAGTCTCTCAAACTCTTAGTTTTTTCATCTGTAAAATGGAGTTTACAGTATCTACCACATAGAACCATGGACATTTTACATGTAACAATTTTAGAAATTCTTGTTACTTAATAAAAGTTTAGTAAGTGTTAAATTTTCCTTTTACTATTTTATTCCTGCAATATGGAAGAACTTAGAACCTTAGAATAATCAACTGCATTATTCAGTAAAAAATTAAAATATATTCAGAAAGACCATTTTCCTATTTGGTCACCTTTATATGTTTCCAATTTTGTGTTATATACAGTTCTATAGGTTGAAATGGTGTCCTCAAAAGACAATAATTGTTATGTTGATTTTGGTTTCCAAAATGAAAGATTATTTTTAAAGATTTTTAAAGTTTTGAAGAATATAATAGCTTACTTGTTTTTGTTTATTTCTGAATTATACCAAAAATTGTTTTGCCTTATATTTTAAGCTCATTTATACATATCTCGGTTAGCTTTCTGGTTTTTGAGTTATTATTTGTTCTCAAAAGAAGAAAGAATTAGTCACTGGTATCATAGCTTTAAAACAATGTATACTATCCATTTGCTTCATGACACAACAGCTAAATTTTTTTTTTAACATTTATTTATTTTTGGCTGCGTTGGGTCTTCGTTGATGCGCACGGGCTTCCTCTAGTTACGGCAAGCGGGAGCTACTCTTCGTTGTGGTGCGCAGGCTTCTCATTGCAGTGGCTTCTCTTGTTGCGGAGCACAGGCTCTAGGCGCGCAGGCTTCAGTAATTGTGGCGCATGGGCTCAGTAGTTGTGACTCAGGAGCTTAGTTGCTCTGCGGCATATGGGATCTTCCCCAACCAGGACTCGAACCCATGTCCCCTGCATTGGCAGGCGCATTCTTAACCACTGTGCCACCAGGTAAGTCCCAACAGCTAAATTTTAAAAAGAACTTTAATGGTTATTATACAGCATTTTCACATGGTCCATTCTGAAAGTCAGTGCCTTTAAATTTTAAATCAAGTCGCAGTTAATATATTTCTGTTTCATCTACACAGAGGTCTGGCTCTAGATTAAACTCCCCTCCAGTTTGTCATGTTGCAGTCTTTCTTTGGCTGTAGCCCCCACCCTCGCACCTCTAAGACCCAGGACTGCCCTCCTCCGTGTGTCCTCTCCACACCCACACATCCTGTACACTAGAGAAGAATCTCTCCTACCCCCAGGGTCTCAGTACCTACACTGGTCCTACTAATCATTCCTGTCCTTGAAGTGTCTTCCTAACCCCAAATGAAACAGAGTAGGACTTTATTTTCCCCCCAAGGCCCTAAGTATTTTAAACTAATTGATGCTAAAGATAATGTCAGGACCTTTTACTGTAGGCAGAATAATGGGATTCTAATGGTGGAACCTGGTGCCTTAGGAGGCTAGTGAGGATGAAGTTTTTGGCAGGGCTTTTCAACGCCCCTATAACCAAATCATTTCCATTTCTGGGCCTGCCACAGTTGCATTTCCAACTCTTTTACCACTTGCTAAAAGAGAAAAAAAGAATAAATAAGGTGAATTTTACTGCCAATAAACCACCTAACAAAAATCCACACCATTAGGACCCATGAAAGGAAACTTTATTCAGCCAGTGGTAAACATGAGCCCTTTAGCCAAGTGGTAAACAATGTCTACATTGATATTCCTCTGACTGAGCACTTGTTTTTTAATCCTGTGTTTCTCCTTGTCCCATTTTGAGTCTATATTAGGTGACTGTAGGCAGTTGGAGATTAGGGCAGGATCCGGGGGGCCCAGGATGTAGGGACTGACCGTCTGCTAGGTGGGCAGACAGCACATTACCATTACTGAGGCTCAGTTCTGGATTATTGTATGCAGAATCCAAACAGGGCAGCTCCCAGGCTAGTGCTGAATGACATATCTGAGAGGACTATCAGTTCTTTACCAGCCTTCCGGGCCTTAGATATGGTGGTAACCCTGGGAGGAAAGAATCTGCTTGAAAGGATAAAAAAAAAAGGTGTAAAAACTCACAGCTGATGAGGCTGTCTATGGAAGCATGGGCTTTGGTTTGTGCAAAAATCCTTTGCATTCTCCTTAATAGCTAATTGCCATGCCTTCCATGGTTTCTATTTTCCTATATTGAATAAAGTCCAGCTCACAATTGATCTCCTTACCATCCCATAGCAAAGGCAGAATAGTTATAAGCAGAGCTGTGGTGATTATCCTACTGGCCAAAGTGAGATAGTACAAGACAGAGACCTAAGGGCACCAACTAATAGTAAACAGAACTATTACAGCTACTATTTAGTTACTGTTTGCTAGGCAGTTCCTTTGTTTTGCAGATGAGGAAATTGAGGTTCTGAGAGATTAAGTAAAATCCCCCATGCAACATACTTGTAAATTATAGAGATGAAATTAAAAGTTGTTTCTCGGGACTTCCCTGATAATGCAGTGGTTAAGAATCCACCCGCCAATGCAGGGGACACGGGTTTGAGCCCTGATCTGGGAAGATCCTGCATGACGCGGTGCAATTAAGCCCATGCGCCACAACTACTGAGCCTGCGCTCTAGAGCTCACAAGCCACAACTACTGAGCCCATGTGCCACAACTACTGAAGCCTGTGTGCCTAGAGCCCGTGCTCCGCAACAAGAGAAGCCACCACAATGAGAAGCCTGTGCACCAAAACAAAGAGTAGCCCCTGCTCACAGCAATGAAGACCCAAAGCAGCCAAAAATAAATAAATACATACATACATTTACTAAAAAATAAATAAATAAAAGTTCTCATTTAAAGGCTTTTGTGTTTTCACTATACTGTGC